ATTAAAACTATGACCTTCCATTTGTATAGTGCCTTGTAGTACTTTTTTTTAAGTTTTTATATCGACAATTCACTTAATTTTATCTTCTTAATAACAACCCTGTGACACAGAGGCAAGGAAGACTTTTTTTCCCCTGTTTTAAAGATGAAAAACTAAATATGACTTTTTTTTTTTTAATCACTGCCCAACACCTCAGAGCACACAGGACTTCCCCTTCACCCACCCGGGACTAAGAAGAAAGAGGCCCCACCCTCATGCTTGTTCAACACTTCACTCCAACGCAGTACACACTGCAGTGTGAGTGATCTTCTGTTCAAATAAGGAAAGAGGTTCAGGGAGGGAATGGCAAGAAATTATTATGATCCTAACATGGAATGGAGAAAATGGTAAACTATGACAGATTGTAACATCTTATTTAAGTAAGAGATATTAAAATATGTAACTGATTTAGTAAAGGTATGGAAACAACTTAATGCATTTCTATCAAATTTTTTTTAATTACCTCACTTTTTGAGAAGGTTAAACACGGAAAGATATCTTCCTGATAGATTTTGTCTAAGAAAGGACATGTTCTGTCCATTGTGGGCTCATCCTTCCAAGATCTGAATTCATTATACAGAGATAAGTCAGCCTGACAAATCAAAAGAAAACATAACTTTTTAAAAAGTACAAACATAAAATCACTTCATAAAACCAAAACCTAATTGAAACACTACTGAAAAAGAAACATTCTTTATTTAAAATAATAATTCAGCCATTCTTAGTTATAACATATGGCAGCAATTTTTCTTTGTAAAACAGTCCAAACTCCCAAATGACTAATTAGCTCTTTTCAGTGTACCGCTGTGGTGTCCAAGGATGCTAACACTCTCCACCCCACCAAAAAATTGCTGGAGCTCTTCTTAAGACACATGTGCACACTGTTCTGAGTATAAAAAATGACAAGTCTTCTGAAAATAATCAAAAAGTATTGTGTGGCCAAGTTAATTAAATAAAGTGTCTGAATAAATGGAGACTGACTAAATTGTGAAACCTAGTTTGGGGCCAGAAATAACACTAATTGTTCTGCTATTACCTGAAGGCATTTCCAAAAGAATTTTCAAAATGTTTACTGTACATAAGCAGCAAGACTAAAAAGCAGCAAACAGCCTCCTAAATTGACTGTCTTAAAATATAACATTTATTTAATTTTTTTTTGGCATCTCAACATCCATTATTTACCATCTGAATTATCAACAATAACCCAGGCTGGCATCTGCCTTCTTATTCACTCTTCCAGTTGTCCCTCCTCTTCCCCGCCTCCCCCAACTTTAATAAATTTTCCCCAAGTTTTCTTCTCTACAGACTCCCTCAGCCCAGCTAACTACTAGCTGTCAACACACAGGCTGCACCCATCCCCGGCCACCGAAACACAGAGCAGGGTCCCTCATCCTCCTGCAGCTCTCAGTCACTCTTGTCCAGAAGCATTGGACACACTGTAAATGGAGCACTGACTGCGGCCATGGCCTCCAGGACAGCTCGACCAGGCGTGCAGGTCGTCTATGTGAACGTAACAGAAGCCTGACTGTATCTGAGCTTTCCTAACACTTCGCTTTACGGTGTACAATAGCACTCTCATTGTGAATTGTTTTCATCCCAATCCGTAAATTCCTTGAGTCAAAGCTAAAGGCAAAAGGGTAAAAATATTAGCAGATGAGTAGTACTTACATTTTCAAATTCATTTTCTTTGTAAAATCTACTCTTTAATGGATTTAACGCCAAAGCAGATAAGCAGTGCTTTAAGTAAAGAGTCTCGTTTAAAGGCAGTAATTTAAATGATTTATTAAGAGCTGACTCTGCATCAGGAACTACCGTAAGCACTTCATAAACATTTAATCCTCAAAGCTGAGCAGATAAATATTATAATCTCCATTTACAGATAAGGAAACTAGGGTTCAGAGAAATAAAACAACTTGACCAAAGTTACAGAGCAAGAAACCAACGGAAGTTCACATCTGAGTGACTTGATCTCCAAGTCTCGCCTGTGTGTGCGTGCACACGTGTTCTAAACGCTTTCAGAAGACGTGTTGTAAATGTCATGACAGGATGCCCCCATCATATTTTCTCCAGAAACATGGACATTTTCACTTTTTTCCCAATTGTTTTATCTTTTTCTAAGACTTACACAGGTCAAATGTATGTTTCATTTGTCTAATGAAACATTTTGACAAGTTTTTCACAAAACATTAGAATAAAAGATATATCTGGAAAGCAGAAAGTTATTATGTTGAAGTTACATGCTGCCTATTCATATTTTAAGAAATTTCATAAACTAAAAACAAAACTTTAAAATTTTCCATGAGAAAACATTCAAATTTTCTTAGTGTAAACAAAAGGGGAAAAAAGTACATAATTATACACACTGAGAAACCACAGCAAAAATAAAAGTTTTACCAAGCAATTTATAATGTTATCTAAATCAAAAGAAATTAGAACTAAAGTTATGCCTTAAAAGTTTCTCAAACATTTAACAGAAACCAATGTGAATTTTAGGTTTTGTTACATTCAGATTTGATCAAGTATTGAACTTCTCTCTCACTGGCATCTTTTTTTTTTATTATTAATAACTAAACAAAATGCAATTCTTTAAAACAAGTAACAGCCTTGGTCATTCAATTTAATAAACTCCTGGCTTCCATGCAAAAATCTGAATAGGCACACACAGCTTCTTAAAGATTAATGATGGACCTGACTTTGACAAGGTAAAATACAGCTTTTCAGAAAAAATGGGATAGGACTTTTCCGTGAATTTCTTCTGATCAATCCCCTTGGAAGTGTTTCCTCATCACATATAAGTAAAATAAATATTTTACAGTTATTCAAGTCTTACTTAAAACAGTTCAAAATACTTCCATATGATGTTATCTTCATAACGTATCTTTTAAAATGATATGGCTACCATTAGTTCCATTTGTTGTTGTTGCTTAACTATGCAAATTCTAGGACTACCTTACTGATAAAAAATTCTGCTTCTCCCAGAATTTAAGTAAAAGCAATGTGCCATTCTTCAAGAAAATCACCTTATTTTCATGCATTTCTTATATTCCTATTTCACTAGAACACTCTAGCAACAAATTGTGACCAGCCAGATCATTAAAGCTACCCACTCTCCTTTATACAACACATGACAGTTAGCTCCCTAAAGGCAATAGCGAGATTAAGAAACTTACCAAGTTTCCAGCAGGTCCTCCAAGGTCAGCCAGGTAGAGAAGTGAACAGAGGCAGCCCTGAAAGCAGCCAGCTCTAGATAAAGCCTCCCCCATCTTAATACTGCATAATTTGCACTAAAACTTTTGCTGACAAAAATCATTACCGACACCTCAGTGATGAGAATAAGTATCAACAGAGTCAGAGGGGACAGTCCTGGACGAGTTACCTCTTTGCAGTCCTTTACAATTGGCTGAATCACACTGAGGTCCTGGTGGCTGCCACTCATGGCGCTGCTCGTACTTTTATTCCTCGTATGCCCCTTTTTAAAGTGTGCCTTTCCGCCCGGCAGAGGCTCCTGCGTAGGTGATGTTGGAGAAGTGGACAATACAAGCGTCTTCAATGCAGCTACTTCGGCTTGAAGGACATCAATCTTGAAAAGAAATCAACACAGTCGCATAAACCAAGTACGCTTCATGACAGATGCAGCTAAATGTTAGCAGTCTGGTCAAAACACTTCCCTTCCAAAAAGATGAAATATAAGTTTAATTTGTATTTCCTGTGGAGTAATAAAAGGAAAGTAAAACCAAGTTTCTGACGTTTCCATATGGTTTGGACTGAGCTGCTATTCACAATGTCACATGAAATTTTAAAAATTGCCCAAATGTCTAACATTTCACTCATGTCAATTTTCAAAATCTTCAAAATGTATTAAAAAATAGTTTATGATTAGTTGCAGTTCCTATCTAAAATAGTAAATTCTAGTAACATTTTGGTAGCTTCTTTAAGTGAAATAATAAATATTAACTTTAAAATGTGATTATATAATCCTTTTGATAATACATGTAATTCACAAGACTTTAAATCATTTGCTTCTAATATAAATGGACACCAGATGCTCACTATTAATTAAGTCTCTGTGGTAGCTACTTTCTTCTTTATAGTTTCCTGGAGTTTTAAAAATTTTCTACAATAAGCACTACTTTTACAATCAGACCAAGTCCGATACAAGGTATATTTAAGACAGTAATCACTCACTTCGTTACATTTTATACTATTATAAGCAGCAAAAACTTACTTTTCCTTGTGCTTCTTTTAGCTGTTTTTCTGCTGTTGCCTGCTTGACATTTGCTTCTCTCACCATCTTATGAGCTTCCTGAAAAAGTGAACATCTCAAATTCTGGAAACAAAGTATTTAGTGTTTGTTTTCAAAAAATCTTTCAACGGGTGTTCTTGAATGAGGCAAAGATAGACCAACAAAGTTTTGCCTAAAATTAAATCTTCAATGTCAACTACTGCAACAGCAATTGTCATTAGACAGACCAACTGACAGGAATGAGGAATAGGTACCTTCTTTTAGTACCTTGTACCACTGAGGCAGCCAAGCTGAGTCTGATCGCTCTGATCAATGCTACTGTAACGACTGTAAGTGCGATGAAGGAAAACACATGACCCTCATGTCAAACAGAACTTTTTTATACTTAGGTTTTTATAATTTTATCACTATATATATATATATACATATTCATCTTTTTACTCACAGCAAAGACATACAAAAGGGACAGGTAAAAATATTAACACACCAATAATGTTGCAGTTTATAGGAATGACAGCGGAGAAGCCTTAGAGTTTCCAATAAAAAAATGCACAAAATGATATGATGATTTTGTGCAGAGCAATCGAAAAAGGGAAATCAGAGTTTCTCCTTTAATAAGACCTTAATTTTTAGTACCATAAATACAAAAACTCTAGGTATTTAATTTCCCTTTATGCATCAAACATTATTCATGACATCTCTTCATGAGGTACTGCTCCAGGCGCTGGTAGTACACTGGGAAAAGAGACCAGGCCATCGCTCTTAAGGAGCTTACGTTCTGATTATGTTCTAATAGTCTGATAAAAATATCTGAGTACAAGTTCTAGATTTTGTTCTAAGCCCAACATGAAGCTTCATGGTTTTCTAAGGAAGAGAGTGACATGATCTTACTTATATTTTAAAAAAAATTACTCTGCTGTATGGAATAGCCCCTATAAAGATTAAGGAGGAACTACAACTGCCTATAGATTGCTCGAGATAATCCCCTGGGATGTAAGAACATACATTCTAGAACTTCAGTTTCCAGTTCATGGGAAGGAAGGGAGTTAGGGAAGGAGGAAGGAAGGAAATCAGCTTCAAAGAGATTTACTGGTTTGACACTGGCACCCTCACCAGGTCTGCCGACAGCTCGGTGGAGGGTGGAAGTTCTGCATGGTGGCTCTCCCGCTGTCCGTTTGCTCTTAGAGTACTGTAATGAACTGCAGTTTGTATGTGCCCATGAATGTGAAACTACAGATTATATTAAAGTAAGAGAAGCTCTCCTGTCAATGCTTTCCAATAAGATGAGATTAACTCTGAGAATATTCCACGCTCAATTATGCTGGTTTTCTTATGTCAAAGTCTGTAAGCGTTATCCAATTTAATAATGAGGTGAGCATTTTTCTTCTAAAAGTGACAAATGTTTCAGATTTGCTGAATTTTTCTGTATTAAATGGCTGTCAATAAAGCAGTATTTGACAAATATATTCAAAATAATAAACGTATCTAATCTGACCCTTCAAGACAAGTTCCATTTTAACTATAAATGCAGAAGTAACTTGTGCTATGGAGGGGATATTTGTTCAAATGTTTGGAAATGGATTCTGCTTTCCTTAATAGTGAACTAGTACAACTTGGAACAAACTTTTTATGGAGAATAATGTTTAAAAGCTGGACGTATCTTTTTTTAAAAGTGTTTGAAGGCAATAGAGAGCTAACAAAATAGTGAAGAATCGGAAGACCAAGATCCAGGAGAACAGGTGGAAGCCAGGAAAGGGGGCTGGGATTTGGGGTGACCCTTCCCCACTAGAGATACACGAGGGACACAGTGACAAGGGATGACATACGTGTAACTGGAGTCCCAAAAGGAAAGAAAAGAGCTAGAATGAGGCAGCAGCAGTATCTGATACTCCATAGGATTTTGCAAATTGACAAGACATCAAAAGGTATATTCAAATAAAGTCTGAAAACTTTTCTATCACTCTGTCACCTGAAACTGAAAAACATAAACATCATCTACACCAGCGGTCAGTAAACTTTCTAAAGAGGCCAGGGAGTAAGTGGTTCGGGCTCTGTGAGCCACGGGTTCTCCGGCGCAGCTGGCCCGCCTGCTGCTGGGGTGGGAGCAGCCACAGACCGCACCCCAGCGAGGCAGCCGCTCCCACAAAAAAGCAGGCGCCCTGAGACATGAGCTGAAGACAGTTTACATGTGTCACAAAGCAGTTCTTTTGATATTTTTCCCCCTCTTACCACTTGGAAATGTAAAAACCAATCTTGGCTCACTAGGCTGTACGAAAGCAGATACAGGCCAGCTCCGCCCTGCAGGCTGCAGTAGGCAGACCCCTGAGCTCTGCAAACATTCATGTCTATGTACTTACAAACCCTGAAAACAGAATTTTTCTCCTATCTGGTTAGCAGTGATTCAAATGAAGGGTTTTCTTTTGTTTGTTCGTGTCTTTAAAAAATGATTTTTATTCAACATCTTCTGATTCATTTTCAAAAGCAATGTGTTGGTATTAGAGAAGACAGAAATTCACTAGAGAATGTTCTGGAAAAACCTCATAACTGGCAATATGACTAGAAATTCAGTACAGTGATTTATCACAGGAAAAGAAGTACTTGTTCCTTTCGGATCAGTGAGTTATCAGCAGCATTACATCTAAATTTTAAAAATGGGATTTAGACCAGACCTTCATCTGAATCATAAATTTAAAACAAGATTTCAAAAACAAGGTAACATATTCAATCACACTCCTCTCATGAAATACATATACATACATATATATGTCTTAGTAAGAATAAAATATTTCTGTACTATTATAAAGAAATTTAAGCACTTTTATTATCTCACTCCTTTTAAAACTTTTATGTTTTGTAATGTATGCGAAACATTGCAATGTGTGTTCGTGGATGTGTACCATTTATAACCAAGCACATACATATGCTCTTAGAACAGTGCCTAATACATAGGGAATGCTCACGAAACATCAGGTATCTTTACCGTAATGAAGGTCCATGTTCAAATTTCTCTCCGTAGCTTGAGACAAACGGAAGTGCCATTTATGACATTCACAGTACTTAACGCAAGATCGAGGTCATGAATCTGGGCCCCAGCGTAGTTTCTTACTCTAATTATGCCTCATTTTCTTCACAGATAAAATAATAATTTGTACTCCACGTGCCTTACAGCACCATTGAGAGAAAACTAAGTGTATCATGGATACTTACTAAAACTGGCTGAAAAAATATAAAAATATCTTAAGACTGCATCTTTTTTTTTTCCATGTTAAATGTAGACTACTTTGTAAAGCATTCTTTCAACAGACTTCATTGTATATTATCTCAAAATCTAAAATGCTACAAGAAAATATATATATATACACACACACATATATAAAACTTTTGAGTCTTGCTAAGTATTTGATAACTTTTAGGACTCAACTTTGCTGAAGGATAATTATATTCAAGATTAATCATCATACATAATAAATTCTAATTTGAGTTTACATGTTAAGTTTACCAAAATTGTGCAAACTGAGCTTATTCAGAATAATACATAACTCTTAAAAAACTATACACACATACACATACAATGCAAGTAAAAACATCTTTTGGTAAGACAATGGTAAACTGAGATCACGAAGGCACAATTGAGACCACAGAAAAACTTCCCGCACTTTTTTCTAAATTCTTAAGTAACTGGTTTGGGTACAACTTTCTTCATTACTAAAAGCATCTGTAATCAATGTAGTTTCCTTCCCAGAAAGTATACACAGTTAAGGGTATTAGTCATCGTTAGGTTAGAGGTAAGTTAGGGACCCAAAAACTTTTGTCTTTTAGATGACTTTTTCATTCACTGCATTTCTGGTACTTCACGTCCTGCTGGAATGGGAAAAGCTTGTCTTCCTCCTACATCATGTAACAGAACGTCCATTTAAGTGCCGAGGGGAGGAGCTAAGTGGGGCTAAAAATCAACTTGCTTTCTTATCTACTATCCATGTATCATTACACTGTTTTCTTCTAGCCAGATATGACTGGAGGAAAAGTCTTATGTTTCTGCATCCCCCCTACATAGACAAATGTGGCACGTTACACAGCTCCTGTGCCAGAACTGTAACTGCCCACTACTGCTACGCTTGCCTTCACCTTCCTCTCACCTCCGATAACCAGCTAACTAAACAAAGAGCTTTTAAATGTTCATGAAGGAAAATGATCCCCAAAAAGAGGAGAGCGCAAAGGGGTGTGGAGCAGAGGGGCACGGAAAGCCCACGTCTGAAGACGCCCACGGCAGCGCTACCTGTAATGATAAAAACCATGGAATATACACTTGATAGATTATTATCATCATTACACTGACTGTGTAGTAACATGAAAAGATGTTATTTAAAGAAAAAGTACAAAATATATTAGGATTGCAACTATGTAAATACCCATACCTAAAACAGAAAAAGATTCTGCATATACAAAAAAAAAAACAACGGTGAAGAAATTTTTCGCCCAAAAATCTTTTTTTCCCATTAAACTATTTAAGGACAAAATTTTAGGGGAAAAAAGAAAATACTGGTAAACTGGTGAGACATCAGCCATTCTAGTAACACAATGCTTTTGATATGGAACTTCTTAAGGCTAAAGGCTAAAGGCCTTATAACCTAAAGGAGGCATCCTATGGCGGTGGTTCTTAACCAAGGAAATACTATCCTCTCCTCCCACCCAGACATATTTAAAAGTTGTCAAAATGATGAGGGAGTATTACTAGAATTTTCTGGGCAAACTCAAGTGTGATGGTTCATTTTGTGTATCAACTTGACTGGGCCACGGGTGCCCAGATATTTTAGTCAAACATTCTGGATGTTTCTGTGAAGATGTTTCTGGGTGAGACTAACATGTGAACTGGTAAGCTGAGAAAAGCAGACTGCCCTCCACACTGTGGGTGGGCCTCAGCCGAAGGCCTGAATAGAACAAAAAGGCTCATCCCCACGGAGTAAGAGAAAATTCTTCCTGCCTTCAGACTCAAACTGAAACATCAGCTCTTCCGGGGTCTCAAGCCTGTCAGCCTTAAGATCTCTCAGCTCTCCTGGTTCTCAGGCCTGTGGACTCGAGCCTGGAACTACACCATCATCCCTCCTGGGTCTCCAGGCTGCCAGCTCAGCCTCCAAATCTTGGGACTTGCCAACCGTTATAACTGCATGAATCAATTCCTTATACGTCTCTTTCTACATACATGTAGATGTACACATGTATATACACACATCCTATTGGTTCTGTTTCTTGGAAACCTCTACTACACCAAGGATGCTAAGTGTCCTACATCACTGGCATCCCTACTGAGAAACACTGCTTGAGCTGGGTAGGAATTTTGGTCCTGTGGCTGAAGATTATATGATTCCGTCACAAAGATGGCAAACCCTTGACGTCGCCTTCTGATAGGGGATGATTGGAGGAGCATTAGAGGGCACACATCTTTAAGTTACTCTAAAGCAGCCCCTAAACAGCTGGTAAAATCAAAATTAAGATTTACCTCCTTTCTTTCCGCATATGCATTTTTTAAACCACCTGATTCTGGTTTTCCTTCCTTCACATCACTTTAAATTGTAGACTCTACATTTCTTACATAGTTTATTTTTTTCAGAGAACTTACAAATATGCATGAAGCTAAGCATATCTTTTTCAAGAGTCCCTCAAAAGAACAAGTCTATCAATATACAAAAATCAAGACGTTGCTCTTGGCCAAGATGTAAACAGACCAACCTCAAACAGACTAGCTGTGAGCTCCTCCAATTCCTGTCCAAGTTGATCTCGTACTTTAGAGAGCCTCTCACACTCTTCATCTTTTAACTTCAGTTCCTATGAGAAATCGATCATTTTATTTTTGGTTTCCAAAGTTTGAAGTCAGGTTCAGCAGACTACATAATCTTTACTAATGAAATCACAAAATACAAACACTGTCCCTCCTACAATATTCACACAACGTGCTTATTTAGCACTTGCCATGTGGAAACAATCCAGCAAATCTAAACTTACAAATAATTCCAACTCACATATTAAATTTTCATGTTTCTTTCATAAATATCCAAGGATTCAGTATAATTATCTATTACATGTGAAAACAAACAAGTAACTTCATTCTTTTTTCCTTTTCTCTGAGCAAGAAATTTAATCATGCTTATTCATTTCAGTAAAAGTCCTGCGAGGTTTTTTTCATGTTTACATTAAAACCTGTTTACCTCCAGGCAACTTCATGTACCATACTGTAATTAGTCTAAAATTCCCATTAGGAGACTATGCTCATTTAATATCGCAACCAGAGGTAAAAAATGTGTATTTACATTTAAAATCAAGAAGAATATTAATGACAAAAATCCTACATTTATACACAACTCCTCAATAGGACACAGATGCTAAAAATTCTTTTAAGATGTTAAAATATGCAATTTTATACATTGCTCTAAATTAATCCATCACCCTTAGAGATAAAAAAATCCAAGCTCCCTATCTATTGGTCACAAATACACTAATAAAATAATGAGTTAGCTGTGCTGTAATTGTGAAAGCATAGTTTTTGAATTCTGCAACAACCCCTGAAAACCAAATATACAGAGTCCAGTGACTACATCTTCAACAAAACCAGGTAGAAGAGAAGCCCATAAGCTGTAGAAAACGTGGCCACGCTGCCCAGACGCCAGGCCCACAGCCTCAGAACCCCCAGAGCAGTACAAATAAGCCGAAAGAGGAGGATTCTGCCCTTGGTAAAAACTGGGAGGAAAAAAATCTGAGAACAAATGGAGAGAAAGGGAAAGGTTTTCACAGGCACCAAGTTGCAGACGAGTGCAAAAACCTTATGTATAGCGGAGTGAACAGCAGAGGGAGGCTCTGAACTCTCAGGGATCTCAAAGCACCCAGCAGAGAGCCCTTTCCAGAAGGGCCGAGCCCCACCTTAAGGGGAAAACTCTTGGATTATAAAGCCAAATTGCAGAGCAGGAATAATGGGGAGAGAGAGAGAGAGAGAAGGTTCAGATATTAAAGGAGGGGTGGCAAGGTTCCAAAGGAAACAAATCACCAAAAGTATTATTAGAAAAAAATAAGTATGTTATGATGTAATGCTACAAGCCTAAAGCTCAGAGACACTGGGCTAATGGAGAAAACCTCCTGCTTTCATGGTTCTGTTGTTACTAATTATTGCCCTCTCTTTTCAGCTTAAAGAAGTCCCTTTAACCTTTCCTGTAAGGCTGGTATAGCGGGGATTAACTTCTCTAGCTTTCACCTGTCTGGGAAACTACCCCTCCTTCAACGCTGAATGACTGTCTTGCTGGGCAGAGTATTTTTGGTTGGAAGGTTTTTCCTTTCAGCACTGTGAATGTGTCAGGCCAGTCCCTGCTGGCCTGCGGTTTTGCTGAAAGACCTGCTGAGAGTCTTAACTGGGAGTGGGGTGGGTTGGCGGTGGTCCCCTTGTATGTAACAAGTTGTTTTTCACTTGCTGATATTTTGATTATACTGTGCCTTGGTGTGTGTCTCTCTGAGTTCAGCTTTTTGGGAATTCTATGGGCTTCCTGGACCTGGATGCCTGCTTCTTTTCCCAGGTTGAGGAAGTTTTCAGCCATTATTTCTTGAGAGACTTCGCCGCCCCTTCTTCTGGGACCCAAATACTGTGACGCAGTTCCGCAAGGCCCTTAAGTTATCTTCACTTTTTGTCACATTTCTTTTTGCTGCTCTGTTTGCTGAGTCCCACTGCCCTGTCTTCCAGATCACTGATCCTTTCTTCTTCATCTAGTCTGTTGTTGAGCCCTCCAGTATATTTTTCAGTTGTTACTACATTTTTTGGCTCTGTGATTCTGTTTGGTACTTTCTTATATTTTCTGTCTCTTTGTTGAAATTCTCACTGTGTTCATCCATTCTTCTCCCGGCTGTGGTGAGACCATTATTCTGAACTCTTTATCAGGTAAATTACTTACCTGTTTTTTGTTACGTTTACACTTTTTTTCTGGGGTTTTATCTTGTTCTTTCATTTGGAACGTATTTCTCTGTTTCCTAATTTCGCTTGACTCTCCGTGTTAGCTTCCATGTATTATGCAAAACTCCCTCTCCCAGTCTCAAAGGCGTGGCCTCGTGTTAAAGATGAGCCCTACTGCTCAAGTCCTAGCTCTTGGCTGCCGCTTGGACCTTTGTGACTGTCCAAGCACCCTGGTTTACCCTTGACAGGTCCCAGCTGTTGAGTTTGCACCGAGACCTGTCAGTGTTCCAAAGGGAGGGATCTCAGTCAGCACCTAGTTTCAGGCTGATGAGAAACCAGACCCTCGAGCAGCAGCTTTCAAAGTATGAAAATACAGACAGCCCCTCGGGAACACAATCTAAAGCCCTGCTGGCCTCTGGACCAGGTGATCCGAGGTGTCCCGTTGGCAACGGTCACAAAAATCAGGGCTCCGGACAAGTGTATAAGCTCCTTTCTGGGAGGCACCAGCAACCCGTAGTGAGGCCAAGGGAGAGAGCAAAGACGGCATCCCCTGCCCTGCGTTCCCTGCGCGCACCCCGTGCCCTTTAAACGTGTGGTAAACCTCAAGCCTGCCCCTCAGGCGGAAGCCTCAGGACAAGTAAACAGGATGGTTCACAGGAAGACTGGGACTGCGTTTCAGTCCGCCGTCTACGCCGTGCCCCGGGGGTGGTAGTCTGCCTAGAACTGTCTCTCTGATTGCTTCAGTTCTGTGGGGCCCAAAAACACAGCCTCCAGAGCCAGGCATCCAAGGGGCACCCCGTGTGGACTGTGTGTGCCCACTGGCTGCCGTGGGGCTGGGACGTGCCCGCCTGCTTCAGTGAGGCTGTGGGAGAACACAGGCATGGAGGACCCCGGCAAGGCGGGGGCACAGCGCAGCACCCCCACCCCCAGGGAGAGCCCCAACAGATGCCGTAAGGTCAGCAGATGAATCTCCCTCACACACGGTCTAGGCACTTCCCACACTGCTGCGTTTGCACTGGGTCTCAGGGCAAGTCAGTCCGTGTGTGAGCCTTTTCAGAGTGAAATGTCGGTTCCTTGCAGGCTTTTTCCTGGAAATAAGCCCCACTGGGTTTCAAAGCCAGACGTTTGGGGCTCATCTTCCCACTGCAGGTTCCCAGGGCCCAGGGGCCCAGGGCACTCTCATTTCTTTTTTCCTTTTCTCTCTTTTTTTTTTTAGGATTTTTCCCCCTTTAATATAAACGTATAACCACAGTGGTCCGTTGTACAAATACAAAATACGCAGGGTGTAGACCCCTCGCCCCTCAGCGAGCAGCTCTGTGCCTGTGGGACCGTTCCTGACCGCGGGCCCGCTGCACCAGGGCTGGGCTTTCCAGCGAGCCTGCGCCTCAGCCTCTCCTATCCATTTTTTCATATGCTTATTTGCCACCTGTGTATCTTTGATGGGGTGTCTGTTCAGATCTTTTGCACATTTTAAAATCAGGTTATTTGTTTTCTTACCGCTGAGTTTTGAGAATTCTTTGCGTATCTTGGTTAATAGTCCTTTATCAAACATCTTTTACAGATATTTCCTTCCGGTCTGTGGCTTGTCTTTTCACTCTTGTGGCATCCTCATCTTTTAGTTGTGGTTCTACAGTGAACACTATTTGCTTTTCACTCCTAATCCTTAATGTTAAAGCTGCTTCCGTTTTTTTTCTTGATTATCTGAAACTCATTCTCTGCTTGATTACTCAGGCAGACACATGGGGGAAATACTTTCTGAAGTTTTACAGGTTTATAACTCCTTGTCTCTGGTCTTAACTTGAGGATACTATGGCTGGTTATGCAATCCTCAGCTTGCAGTTTTTTCATTTAAGTATCTTAAAAAATGACCATTGTTTTCCAGCATAAAATGCTGTTGAGATTTGATAGCTGTTGATTTTCTTTCACTTGTGGTTTACCTACCTTTGTGTTTAACCGCTTTACTATGCTAGCTTCACATGCCTTTTGTCTGCTTTTCACAGTTAAATGAATTGGATTTTCCCGGATTATTAGGAAGAGGGTCCTGGGAAGGAGCAGGATGAACCAGGATGGCTCTCGCAGTTCTAGGTTCCAGAGCTTTCCCTTTTGTTGTTATTGGGTATCTGTGTGGCCACTTCTGTCTCTCAGAGGTAAGCTTTGCTCAAGGTTTTCTCGAGGCGGCGATTGAAGAGAGTGGCATTGGAAGGTCCCGAACCCCCTCTTACTACACGATCAAGCAATCACACTCCTTGGTATTTACCCAAAGGAGCTGAACTTATATTCACACAGAAACCTGCACACAGATGTTTAAACATTCATAACTGCCAAATCTTGGAAGCAACCCAACTTTCAGTAAGTGAATGAATAAATAAGCTGTGGTACATCCAAACAATGAAATATTATTCAGCGCTGAAAGGAAATGTGCTACCAAGCCACGAAAAGCCATGGAGGAAAATGAATGCATGCCTAAATAAGAAAATCCAGTTTGCAAAGGCTACACACTTTACGGCTCCAACTACATGACATTCTGAAACAGTGAAAATCATGGAGACAGTGAAAAGATCAGCGGGCTGCCAGGGACTGAAGGCTAGGAAGAGGTGAGCAGGTAGAGCAGAGGATTTTTAGGACAGTGAAACTATTCCACATGATCCTACAATGATAGACACATGTCATTATAAATTTGTCAAAATCCATCAGATGTACATCACCAAGAGTGAACCCTAAAGTAAACACTGAAGTAAATGGTGGACAATAGCATGTCAGTTTACATCCATCAATTGACAAATGTACCTTTCTGGGGTGAGATGCTGAGAGCAGGAGAGGCTCTGCATATGTGGGGAAAGGGGGTGTATGTGAACTCGGATTTCCCTCTCAACTCTGCTGTAAACCTAAAATTGCT